AACCCGTCAAAAAAGGGGAAAAAGTCTCACCTTTAACCATCCAACTTAATCATCAAGGCTAGAGAGGGACAGCCGCGCTTAAAAAGAAGAAAAAAATAGAGATGACAATTCTCACCGTAACTCTTCCTAATTCGTTAAGTTCTATGAAGATTTCTGTTTTAGGCATAACTCGTGGGTTCTAGGAAGATTTCTGTTTTAGGAATAAAAATTTTTAAAATATTCCTTTTGTGGGGGTGGGGACAAAAGTACTTTTTTTTTGGTAAAATTTTATAAAGAATTTCTTTTATCTGTATTTATAGAGAATTGTAAATTAATAAAAAATTATAAATTTTATTTTTATAAATTATAATAAATTTAAATATCTTAATTTTCAAACTCACAAATTTTAATCACAAACACTTTAATTTTCTCATTTCTCCTCTTTATCATCTTATTTTCTTTTGACAGTGCCAATTTGTTTAATGAGTTTTTTTTAAATTTAAATTTAGCTTATTTTATTAATTTATCTTTTTTATAAATTTACTTTATTTTATTTGATTTTATTTAATTTCTAAAAGAAACTTAAAAATAACTACTTTTTAAAAATATTTTTAAACCTTTTTTTTTTATAGGAAATAGAGAATTATATTAAATATAAGGAGATTACAGATGAATCTCAAGCAGGGCGTTATAGCCAAATTAAGGACAGAAGCGTAACCTACAGCATTAGTAACAGATTTAAATTGTGCCCATGACATATATGGACAATTAAGCGAAGAGGGTCATCTGTGACTAAAGATTGTAACTACAATCGCTGTAAGGGCAAAAATAGGGCTACAAAAGTAGAAAAGGAGGTCGCTATGAGTGTCTGAAACTACTGGACGTTTTCACTTATTTAGTTAGCTTCATGGGGAGAGCAGGGAAAATTCGACATTAGCAATCCCCAACCCACTATATGTCGTCCCTAAAACAATTTCAATCAATAGGAGGGCCATGCTCCTCCATACAAACCCAGGCACCTCCCTTGTCACCATGGGCTCCCAACCATACCCTAACTATTCCAATCCTTTGCAAGCCCTTGTTGCCAAATTTCAATAAGGGAACTAAAGCCCCTTTTGAGACTGAAGTGGCATTCTCCCCATAGCGACTTCACCAACCTCATCCTTTTCCTTTGGCTTATGACCAAAAAAACCAATCAGCCTCCAATGACTACCACTTGGATACCCTAGATCTAAGCAAAACAGAGGCATGGCAATACTGAAATTCCAAGCATCTTCCTATTTCCAAACCATATGCAGTGGGAGAATTCCATCTTCGTTCTCTGCAATCCGAATCCGATTGAGCATAGAACCCAATTCATCTGCTATCATGATCGGGATGGAGGTTCAATGACGAAAACAGAGCAGTTTTGCAGAGACCTAGCACGCTCCGCCCAAGTTGCGAAACAGAGCAAAATTGTAGAGATCTGGAAACGCCCCCCGCGATTTGTAGAAACAAAAGTTGAGGAGAGGCACCAGATTTATGACGCCCCAATTAGAAACGGCCAAAGACCACATATCAAAGGCTCGACGCAGAGACGGAAAAGAAAGTAGAAGGGCTCCGTTGTCAAAGAGAGTTCCTGAAGGAAGAGGCCTGCCAACTCCAAACCCTAACAGGAGGAGTTTGGAGCACGGGAGAAAACAATTGAATTTTTTAAACCTTTTTTAAAACTGCGAATTGAATAAATTAATTTATTTTTATATATAATCAAACAAAAAAATATATATAAAAGATCTCTACAAGTACAACGATAGAGAATATTTTATATCCTCTATCAAAAATCTTTACGAAAATCCTCGTATCCATTAACGACAAGAAATAGAAATTGAGAGAGGGTCCCACTCCTGCAGAGATTCGTAACCACCCTACAAGAAAACAAGGGAGAGATAAAAAAAAAATTCAAAGCAAAGAGAGGGTAGGGGCGGCTAGTGTTTCACGTGACATCAATCAACGCAATGCCGCAACATGCATGAGAGACGTTGTTACTAACTTTTTAATCATCACTTTTGTCAAAAAAAAAAAAAGAAAAAAGAAAAAACGAGAGATGTTGAATTTTTTATGACTGGTGATAAAGACGTAGGTACGTGTCACACGAGAGCCAAAAATCAACCGCGGCGGTAAATTTACTTCTTAGGCACCCTCTCGATTTTGGCTCCACCAATGCTTTATTATTATTTTTTTTTTGAGCTGTCACGATTTAGGGTAGAAATTATTTATATGATATTATGGTAATTCAAATTTGGATATTAAATAAGGTATTAAATGTATCAATTAATTAACCTACAAAATTTAGTGCAGCTCCACAAATACTTTAGAGGCTAATAAGTAAAAGATAATAATAATGTAGCATAGTTACTATTTTTTGATACATATATATTTAATATAATGACTATAGTGCAAGGTGGAAAATTCTTTCTACGTTCACACGCATGCATATGTATTAAGTGAGTTGAAGATAAAGAAACCAAAGACGACTCTCCACTCAATTGTATACCTAATTCGATCTCGTCGGTATATGCAACATATATTTTTGGGTTTTTCTAACTCTAACTACACATTTTAAGAGTATTTTTTTAATTATAAATATATATAAAAAGTTGTAAAAATTAATATTAATTTTAATGTTAATGTCAAGTAGATAAATTTAATTAAATAATTAATAAAGTAAATATTAATTTTTATTTTTTAATATAAATTTATGACAAAAATGTATTTTTAATATACCTTTAACTTGGTTAGACAAACTTTATGTTTTTTATACCATACGCAAATTAAAAATAATAATTATTATCAATAACTTAAATAATTTAATGATAATATCTATTTAAATAATTTTTTTAAAAGAATTTGTTTAACATGTGTTTTAGATACAATAAATATATTTTTTATAATTAATTTAAATAAAAAATCATAAAAATTTACTTTTATTTGTCACATGATAGTTTTAATTAGTTAATTGATTAAATTTAAGTCAATATTTATATTTTTTATGTAAATTAATTTAAACATAATAATAAATACATTTTTAATTTGTGCTAAATAAATCCTTTTTTGAAAATAACATGATTATAATATTACGTAATATTATAAAGTTTTAATATAATTAATATATCATTATATAAGTAATTATTTTACTTAAAAATTTAATATATTTATTTAATAATATATCATACTAATTTAGTAATATATTATAATTATAAATTTATAAATTTAAATAACATTGTAGTTATAGTATTGTTTTTTTTTTTTAACACTATATTATTAGGGTTCACATGGGTTTTTAAAACGAAGGCATGATTGAAGCCTGACGTATCAAAAGAACAGCCTGTCCTCACCTCAGTGGTCAATTTGTTGCGCTTGGTCTGCTTTGTCTTTGTCTGGGCTTCTCAATTGGAAGGGTCAGTCGCGGTTTGATGGTAACATTATATTAATAAATTAATAATGAGCGGTTTATGAGGCTACTCAAAATTTTAGATAATTAATTATAATATTTAAAAATACTTATTTATAAATAAATTTTAATTTATTAAATAATAAATATTAATTATTTTTAATATAAAAATGAAAATTAAACAACTTTATCTATCCGCAACATTTGGCCGGCCGGGGGCTACCACCACCACTATTCTAGTTGCAAATAGCTGTAGTAAAGGGTTCAGAACGTACAGGTTCATTTAATATAATTGACACTGACACGGTGACCCTGTATTTGTCCATCCCTAACAAGAAAATGAGTTTCCTGAAAAAAATCAATCATAAAATTTGGCAAGACGCAGACAGATCGAAGATATCCAAGTTATTTCTGCATCACGATTCCCATTCCAAAAGACATGTGTTACATATTATAGAAAGTGGACCTTGTTTGTTTTCCTCGAAAAGGGAAGAAAATTAGTGGGCTCGCTTAATTCAGTATCGAGACGCAATGATTCCATTTGAAGTGAAGAATGACCCCATAGTCAACACAAAGGCAAACCTTTTCTGGGGTTGATTTCTCTTGCTGCAATCACTCACATCTCCATGAACATGTTATGCTTTCTTGTGTTTAATCGATTCGTGGAATAAAAGTGACATCCTCTTTCGACTATTATATATGGATTAGTTATAATTTTTTTATAACATGGTTAATTGGATCCTTAACTAGTTCAGCAGTCACTGCTTTATCTACAAAGGCAAACTTCCATCCAAATATAACAGACATGGCTTATTTAGAATTATAAGCACCTGGACAATAACAGAGGGATGATTTAAAATATCAATTTTGTCCTTTAATTTTTAAATTTTTATTAAATTTATTTTTAAAATTTTAAAAATAT